ATAAAAAATAATCAGATATTAGATTTAGGTCGATGAGAAACAAATCTAGTGGCCCTCATAGCAGATCTTTCCTCTCTTGGTTGCTTAGCAGGAAGTTGGCTCAGCAGGTCTGAGTTAGTTCAACAGAAGAATAGTTGCTGGGGTCCAGAGGCTCTTCCTTTCCAAAAAGGCCTTCCATCCCCTGATGAGGAAGTTTCTACTGCTACAGATCATATGGGTTCCCCTGCCGCTTAACCTTATAAATATGTGGTCTGTTATTGACTCAAGTTCCGTCTGTGCTGGAACATTGGTCATGTGCTTGTGGACCTGAGCAGTGGGTGATGAGACTTGAGGTCTAGGGATGCTGTATGCTCTACTTCCTTTTCACTTATCAGATTTCTCTTGACAGCGCCATCTTTGATCTGCACTGTGAAGTGCTGGTGCTGTGTGTTCATGAATGGCAACTAGACAGGAGAAAGAGACACCCATGTTTCAAGGTGAATGCAGGGACAGTTTTAAAGAGTAAGAAGTATACAAAAGTAGGAATTGTGCATTACATCAGAAAGGCAGGATGGATAGATGTCAATGACCTTGACTTGGATCCCTGACCCCTGAGGCCAGTGTGGTACCAGAAGGAACAATTTAAACCTAGGAAGGGATTAAAAGAAGAATGGGGAGGATAAGAATTCTGATCCAACAAAATATTTTCCTCAAAGAAAGTGTGTTTAACTAGAAAGAAAGTAACTGAGTTCATTTTACACTGACAGGATCACATTTTTGACCATGTGAAAGTGAAGGCTTAAAACATAAGTTTAGTTGTAGAGAAAAAATTTTAAAGTTACGTTTTTTTATGGCCGAGTTGTGTCAAGTTTTTACCTCAATTAAAAGAGAAATGGCTATTTGAGGTCATGTTAAGCTAATTTATTAATATTTTAGAAAGTGGGAACTAGATGATTTCTATTGAAGAGATACCTCTGTGCAAATACATTTTCTTTTAAACAACATTTACTTTTCAACTAAGTGCTAAATAAGCACGTCTGTGACATTATTTTCCAAAGGTAAAAAGTGGCCTCATGGGAGGAGAGGGAAAATGCCAAAATGATTTTCCTAAAGTGTTTTCATAATAATCACTTTTTTAAGAATATAAAAGAAGTTATGTTAATATATCTCACTCTACATACAGACTGCAAAACTGAAAAACTAGATTATAAAATGAAGAGAATTATATTATGGAATATTCTTACTGCCTTTACTATTTCACCTTTTAAATATAAAGAATAGAAAGAAAATGTCAGGAATGTATTTTTAAGAATTAGCTCTTTGCTTGTGGCATTTCATTCTGGCTCTAAATATAATATGCAAATAAAATGAAAAGAAGACATTAATTTGTTTTTAGTTAACAAATTAACAGTTACTTTACCTACTTCATAACATATCATTATGCCAGCCTTTTTTCCCGTTTTTTGAAGCTTCTTCTTTAGAAATAATTTCAAACTATCAAAAAGGCAAAAGAATAATACAGAGGACACCTATATACCCTTCATCCATAGTCACCTATTCTTACTTATAATTTTTTTGTCATTGTGAAATATTTTTTGGAGAGAAAAGAAAATTGATGATGATTTCCCAGAAATATGCAGCAATTGTGCCAAACCTGTTTCTCATGATGCAAGATCATTCAACTGAATGACAATATTTTGAGGCATGGTAATTACACTTTGTATATAGGACACAACAATTTAAAAGCAAAACAAATAATAATAATAATCAATCAGCTTGTTTCTTACCTTTTTTATTCCTGTACCTTGGAAAGCAGTTGAGTGTGTCTTTTTCTTATTTCCCTGTTTGTTTTTGCACTGTGTAGATCAAGCAAGTAACATTTACCCTGAGTTTACTTTCAGCTGCCTCAAGCGTTTCCTCACCATCAATTTTCATTTATTTATTTATTTAGACTTTAATAATTTTTTATTTTTAAGTTACAGTTGACATATACTATTATATTACTTTTAGGTATACAATTTAGTGATTAGACATTAATAGCTTACTAAGTGATCATCCTGATAAATACTGTACCCATTTACTTTTAATGGCACTTTTCAAAATCTTAATATTTCAAGTAGTTAAATGTTAGTTATACTGCATTGCCTTGTGTGTTTCAAGGGCATCATCCCTGTTTCCACTGGTTTTCTGGGAAATACAGTTTTGGCGAGTTCAGCCAATCTCTCTTGGGGCAATGGGGCCAAAATTCCTTTCTTTGTAACCCTAAGACGGGCTACTTCACTTGTCAAAAGAAGAGTCAGCAAAACTTCCAACTATTTTAGCTAATGAGTAAGTTATAAAAACAATAAATAAACAAATGTGTAAACAAGTAAATAAGTCTTAATAACAGCTATGAATTTTGAAAGTAATAATCCCATTTAAAACTCATCGTCTTTTATCTTATAAATCTTCCCAGAACCATCCTATGTATGTAAAGATATATGTAATCGTCTCTATAGTGGTAAGTATGTAACATAGAAGTATACATACACCTATAAATAGAATTACATATATAGTTTTAGAAATGTTTTATCATATTTGATATAATGGGATTATACAGTATACAGTCTTTTGTAGTTTGCTCTTCTCATGTAACAATGTACCTGAACTAGCTTGTGATATTAGGTCATTGAGATCAGCCTCAGTATTTTTCAAAGCTGCATAATATTTTATTGTATGGGTATGACATAATTTTTAAATGTACATCCAAAATGATAAACATTTAATTTTTTTGTTTTTCCTTTTTGCTGTCACAAAACAAACATACATTTGCTATGTATATCTTTCTCTTATCTGAGATTTTTTATAAAATAAATTTCTAGAAGGGCATTTAAGTTGTGATAGTAATTATTAAATAGTTTTGATAATCATTGTTTGAAATTTCTTGTCTTTGGCAATGTATGCACTCAGACAATGTTTGTAGAAGGAAGCAAAGGAGGGAAGGAGGAAGAAAGATGGGAGGGAAGTCAGGAAGGCTAATAATTGGGGTAGTTTTCTTTACCTAAGAGAAAGAGAACAGGGCTCTCTTAGTTAAGATTATGATTACAATAGCCAAGTGTTGGAAGCAACCTAAATGCCCATTAGTAGATGATTGGATCAAAAAATTATGGTACATATACACAATGGAATACTACGCAGCAGAAAGAAAAAAAGAACTACTAAACTTTGCGACAGCATGGATGGAACTGGAGAGCATCATGCTAAGCGAAATAAGCCAGGGGACGAAAGACAAATACCATATGATCTCACCTATAAGCGGAACCTAACCAACAATACAAAGATGCAAGGAAAACATGACCAGCAACACTGAAAGGAAAAGAAATCAACAGAGACAAGAGGGAAGGGGGGCCAGGGAAAGGGAAGGGAAGGGGAAAGTCAAGGAACATATAGCAAGGACTCATGGACAAAACCAAAGGGGAAGAGCTGAGGGAGGGAAGGTGGGAGGGGGCAGGGGAAAGAAGTGGGGGGGGGCAGAGATAAATGTATTTAAAAAGTAAATAAATTAAAAAAAAAAGATTATGATTACTTTTACTTACCAGTTTTCTATTATGCTTTGTAACTTTTTATTTGTATACTTTTTATATGGTGCACTTTTTATATCTTTCAGAGGCCAACTTGAATGTTACTTCCTTAGGAATAATATAATAAATAGAATGTTAAATATTTCTATTGTATGGTCCCTGTCATATTCTAAATTTCACCACACTTGCAATTTTTTTCAATGTCTGTCTCCTTAGATAGACAAGAAGTAAGAAGCACCATACACATAGAGACCATGTCTTGTTTGTCAGTGTATTTGCTACTTCGCAAGAATGTCTAGGTGCCCAGCTTTTGTTAAAAGCAAAAAGAGAGGAGAGGATAATTAGAGAAAGTAACAGAGAGAAATAGAAAGAGAGACACAGAGAAAAAGACGGAGGGACAGGGTTGGAGATAAATTGAAAGTGAGAAAAGAAGGAAGTATGGAGAGAAGGATGGAAGAGGGGAGACACGAAGGCTGACGATGCCGGGGTTAGAGCCGTAAACATGAGAGAAATATGTAAAAAAAAATGGTAAAAAAACCAGTGAGATATAAGAATCTCAATATTTTCTGACTACAGAATCAGGGAAACATTGGGTCATTTTTCATAAGACCAAATGAGTTGATGACCGTAGAGCTTGGTTTCTGACTGCAGAATGAAAGCTATTTGTTGGAAGGGCACGTGTCCAGAATAAAAAGGATTGTTTTGAGGGCTTGTTTTGCAGTTCAACTGGTACAAAGGCAGCTGGGAAAAACTTCACTGTAAAGGGAAAATGCCTGCTTTCTGTTGCCTAATGTGGGAATAGAAATGTAATAACAGTTATGAATCTGTCATAGTAGGGGTAGCTTGGAAATTGCACTGGACTAGGAGCCTACTTAGTGTAACAATGTGAAGGGTATATGAAGTAGTTTTGCTTATTTTTATTTTGGATTAAACCATAGTGTAGTGGAGACATTGATAAGACATTTCCTAGCTATATATTTTTTTGATTCTACTATAATTATATATCCCTCTATACGTATAATTCTGTGTGTCTCCATAGATATAAACATACTTATGCTTATATAGTTATACTGTATGGAGATATTCATGTTAAAGAAATGAACTATCTTAAATTTCCAACCATTAAAAACATTGTTAAACCTAAAAAATTAGGAACTAGATTACTCAGTTTATAAGCTTCTTGCTTTTCCTAGCTCACTCTTTCCTTTTTGGGCCATGTGTCTTCACCAACATTGGAAAGTGGGTTCATGAAAGAAAAATATAGTAAGTGAAATGTTTAAATAATTAATGGTAAGTTAAACATTTTTTTGTTTATTTTATTTATCAATATTCTCATACTTATCACTCTGCCTGACTGATGACTGATTCCAATAACACCAGAGGCGGGATTCAGTTATACATTATTAGGAAGATTTAACTTACGGAACATGGCTTGCTTGGATTTCCTCTTAATTATTGGAGTTAAATCAACAGGAGGCTGATGCTGCTCATACCTTGAAGAAGCAACTGGCAGAAAGTAGTGCTCATGGAAAAGTTTCCTTTACAAGTTAGAAAAACATTTTGGCTTCATCCTACATATACTACACTCCAAGGTCTATTGCTACTGTTTTCCGAATTACTCACTGGCTGGGTGAATGGCAGGTACGAGTAGTGTTTTTACTGTAATACACAGATGTTGATATTTTCCATGATTTTCTTGGAGTAAATGGAGGGCTTTCATATTAAAAAAAAAAACACCTCATTTTAGATTTAGTAAAAGTACTTAGATTTCCACTTTGTAAAGATCTATACAACTTCCACGTTTTTATTTTTAAAGTTTATATTAAAAACTTGTCTTATTTGGCATTGATAGAAAGCAGATGTTACCTAATGGGATGAAGCCAGGAGTTTTAATGAATAATAATAGCAAGTTAGAGATAGAATGATCATGTGGAGGGTCAGAAATGGGTTAGAATTCTTATATAAAACTAGGTAAAGCTAACAGTGTGTGTGCATTCATGTGAGTGTGTGTGTGTGCAGAGAGAGAGAGAGAGAAAGAGGCAGTATATTGAAAAGAAGGAAATGCTGGGTGAAAATGTTTCATGATAAAATCCAATTCTACAAATGATTTGGGATTACCTATACTTAAATTTATTCTAATTGTGTATTTGAGGTTTGCATAGTGCCTAAGACTTTTAAATTGGGCCTTATAACTCAATATAAAGTACTGCATAGATGAATTTTTTGGAAATGTTTCCAAGGGCTTTTAATATATACATATATATGTCTTTTTCATTTTTATTATTAATACTATTACAGATGTCTTCATTCCCACCCCAAATGTGAACACCTTACTATGTCTGTCCATATGTCCAGAAACTTAAGGTTGTTTTGAAAAAAAAATAAGTTTACATTGTGTTAAATTATATGACTTTGTAAATAAGTAGGATTTTTGCTTTGTGTGCAATATTTATACTAGCAAAACTTTACAGTGCAATCTGAATAATATTTGTAATTATTAATGTACTTGTTTGAGATATTATTTAACTGTGTTAAGAATCTTGATACCTTTGTTGTTCTGTACATGCAAATATTTCCAAGGTCAGGAAACTATGTAGTGAGAAAAGGAAACTATTTGGAGGGATTTTTTTTTTAATTAATTTATTTACTTTTTAAATACATTTGTCTCTGCCTTGGTTTATAGAGTCTATTTATTCAAGTGTAAAGATTCTCACTTTTCTTAATGTTGGATTATTTCAAAAGAGTACTTCTTTAATGTGCATTGAATTTTAACTAATCTAAAGTAATAGGAGCTAATTTTATGTTTATTTTTTGTTTACTTTTGTAGTGGGCCAAAGTTGTAATGAAATATGTAATGACATTTGTAAGACTTTATTTTCTTTTAGAGCAGTTTTAGTTACACAGCAAAATTGAGAGGAAGGCAGAGATATTTCCCATATACCGGTAGCCCCCACTCATGGATGGCCTTCCCCATTATCAACCTCCCTCAGCATAATGGTGTATTTGTTGTAATCGGGGAACCTACATTGACACATCGTAATCACCCAAAGTCTGTACTTTATGTTTGCACTTTATGTTATAGATCTAGTATGTCAGCCTTTCACTTAGCAATATGCATTTAAATTTTTTCCATACTTTTTTGTGGCTTGGTAGCTCATTTCCTTTCAGTACTGAATAATACTCTAATCTGGATGTACCACAGTTGATTTATTCATTCCCCTACTGAAGGAGATCTTAGTTGCTTCCAAATTTTGGCAATTACGAATGAAGCTGCTATAAGCATCTTTGTGCAGGTTTTTCTGTGGCCATATAAGTATCCAGTTCCTTTGGGTAAATATCAAGGAGTGCTATAATGATATTTTTCACATACATTTAATGTTTACAACTTTTCTTACTTTTTGTTAATATTACATTATTTGAATTTTATGTGCATCAGCATATTTTGGTAGTTTTCCAGTGATACATAGCTTGTTTATATATTTGCATGTTTGTGTGCTGTGCCATGTCCCTGTGTCCACTAATAGATTTTTTGTTTGGTGAAATAATAATTCTGTTTGAATGGTCTGCAAATGACTCTCACAATGATAAAGGAACAAAAGAAAGCCCAAAATTCTAAACTGCATTTGAACAAACCAAATGCCATTTAGTAGTTTCATTCTTCTCTGAGTCATATTGGGGCACCATTTTACCCATTGAAAGCTCAAGACAACTTAAAAAATTATTAAAACTTATTAATATTTATGGATTTTCAGATAGCTTGCATATTTAATCTCATATTTCATGAAGTTATTCAAAGTAATTTATTAATTGAAGAGATTTCAGTTCCTCTTTGTAGTACCTCTTTTTGATCATACTAACAATTTCTTTAATTTAATAGAAACTCTTATAAAAACAAATAACACATTACACTGATTTCACTGGAGTGAATATCCCTGAATTTACCTGAACCTCCAGTCCCCTCCAAATGGGCACAGTACTGAAATATTAAAAATATGCACATTTAAGAAAAAGACAATGTTTTTTAAGATTTATTGAGGTACAGTTGACAAAAATTGTGCATATTTAAGGTGTACAGTGTGATGGTTTGTTATATATTGTGAAATGAATACCACAACCAAGCTAATTAACAAGTCTATCTCTTTGCATACTTTAACTTTGTGTGTGTGTATGTCGGAGAGAACACAAGATCTACTCTCATAGCAAATTTCAAATCTACTATACAGTATTATCAATTACAGTTATCAGGTTACATTAGATCCCCAGAACCTATTCATATTCTGAGTTTATATCTTTTGGCTAGTATCTCTCCATCTTCCCCACTCACAGCCCCTGGCAACCACCATTCTACTCTGCTTGGGTGAGTTTGACTATTTTAAAGTTTCATGTATAAATAAGATCATACAGTACTTTTCTTTGTGACTGGCTTATTTCACTTAGCACAATGTCCTTGAGGTTCATCAATATTGTTGTAAATGGTGGGATACCCTTCCTGTTATGGTTAAGCAATATTCTACAACTATATTTTTATGGCTATATTACATATACATATGGTAGAATATTATATATATCACATTTTCTTTATTGATCCATTGTTAATGGATACTTAGGTTATTTCCATATCTTGGCTATTGTGGATAATGCTGCAATAAATATGGAAGTGTAGATATCTCTTTGAGATTCAGGTTTCATTTGCTTGGGATATCTACCCAAAAGAGGAGATCCTGGGCAGTATGGTAGTTGTACTTTTAACTTTTCGGAGGACCTCCCTACTGTTTTTACATAATGGTTGTACCAGTTTATACTTCTACTGACAGGGTTCAAGGGTTTCCTTTTCTTTTCAACACTTGTCTCTTGACTTTTTGGTAATAACCATTCTAATAGGTATTGTGTGATATCTCATTATGCTTTTGATTTGTATTTCCCTAATGACTAGTGATGTTGAGCCCCTTTTTATATACTTTTTGGCCATTTGTGTATTTGTTTTGTAAAAATGCCTATTCAGGTCAGTTGCCCATTTTAAAACCAGATTATTTATTTTCTTTTGTTTGTTTCTTTTTTGCTATTGAGATGTATGAGTTCTTCATATTATTTGCATATAAAGTTCTTATCAAGATATATGGCTTGCAAATATTTTTTTTCCCAAAGTAGAATAAAGTCTAACAAAACAGTATACTAATTTAATTGCTAAAGAGAAATAGCCACTTCTTATTTATCTCCAATTCAATCTGTCTCTTTCTTATGACACTCGTCACATTCTTTCTTGTATTATAGTAATTCACATATCTTTTCTTCTTTACATTTTCAATTTCCTTAAACAGAGTTTCTAAATTCAGTGCCTTAATAATAATAGTGTAGATTGTAAGTTGTTTAATTAATTAATACAATTTAGACACCTTTTATCTTATGGTTTTATCGGAATGGACCTAAAGCTAAAAAGTTCCTTGGGACCTTATTTTTGGTACTATAAAATATACAATGTGATATAAGCCTCTTTCTAAGTGTAAACCTGTGGTTCATGCTTAGCGATAATTATAAAGGCTTTTTATCCCCATATTGCTAACTGAAATTTTGTTATTAGCCCAGAGACTTGCTGGCAAGAGAGATTCATCAGTCATGGTTAAGTTACTCTGGGTGGCCTGTAACCATTACGTCATTATCAGTTGTGGGATGAGCTGGTAACACTGTTTGTAGTTTCACTAAGTCGCTCTATCAGCTCTCCAGAAGTAAATGCAAATAAACGGGTTCCAAACCCCTTCAGAACACACTGTAAATCTTTGTAACTTCATGGCCAAATGGTAAACCGCAGGACCACATGACTCGAATCCCTTGAGACAGTCATGTTATTCCTGTCAGACTTCTCTTCCCTCATTCATCAGCTGGAGGCTTTCATCTCCTTTTAAAGCCATGGCCTTTCAAGTAGGGGTGAAATTACACCTGTCAATAATAAGGGGACACAGTACTCTCTATCATTCTGTCATTTCACAAAATAAATTAAAAGAAAGCATCGCCTATTCCATATTCATTTAGCAACACTTTTTTTTCTTTCCCTATAGTACTTTTAAATGCTTTCCAGTGATGTAATTGTTGAGAGAATTTTTTAAAAAATTCACCTAAACTGGGGGATGATATGGAAACCTTCAGATAATTAGCTTCCATGTGAGTTCTACATTATATTCAGTCACTGCATTAAACATATTTGACAGAAAGATTTAACTGTGTATATAATCTACAATGGCAATCTGAATGTGCCCCTTAGCACACTTGTTCTGTTTATTTTTTCTATGTTACACTCTGATAACTTTGTGGTTGCCCGTAATACCATACAGCAGGTGCACCTGGACAGCAACCATTTTATTTACATAGAGAACAAAGTTAATGTTTTATCAAATGGAGGATACACCTGGATTGGAGAGCATGTTCAAATCAAAATTGCAAGTTGCTTTTAGCCTGATATTTAAACTCCATTGAGCAAACTCTTTTGAAAGTTTTGAAGACTTGGATTCTTAACTCTCCTTAACCAGAGAATGAAAGGG